GATACATAACTGATAATTAAAAGTAAATGCACATAAACGGTTTACATAATAATAAGAATAAAAACATCAAATTTTATTATGAATAAACTGTATTGGAAGCAATTATGGAAACACACTGGCGATAAACATAATGGGGTCACCAAAAATGGGTAAATGATAAAGTTATAATTAATACTTTTTTTTACACTTCATTTATAAATCAAGTAATAAATTTGTATTACAAAGTAGTATTTACGTAAGCTTTAGTATTTACAAAAGTACGTTAGTACCATTTGATATATAAATCCATATGTCTTTTCCAAATGTGTCTTTTTCACAATTCAGCCAGGTTTTTTGGTTGGCCTCTGGCCCTCTAAATTTTTATGTAAGCTCATACATCTTTAAGTCATATCGAGACATTGTGCAAGCTAAGCCATGGTTACAAGTGTTTCATCAGCCTATTTTTCGTTTCATCACACGTGCTTCATGTTTGGGATTACTGTGTTGTTGGAAGATGAATCTGATGAACTGTGTTCCTGAAAAAGTCTATCAAAATCTACTTCTACATGTTAATGTTCAGGGTACCCTCACCCTCAATTTTGTGGAAAACACCGACACTGTTGGCTGAGGCACACCTCCCAAATTGTATTGACCCCTCAGTATGCTTCACTATAGATGTGCATTGATTGTAATTTTTTTTTCTCTCTGCAATCGGATAAAAACTCCCATTCATTGTTGTACAACAAATTGAACTTGGATTCATTTGTAAAGAGCACCCACCTCCAGCTTTTCTTGTCTCATTGCTCGAAATCTGAGGCTCATCTCAACCAATTGGTATGGTTATTTCTCCTAAGCAGTGGCGTTTGAATAGATTTACGTCCATTGAGCTTTGTGCTAACATATATCTTGTTTTTCTGGAAGTAATATTCGTACTAATATTTACAGTTAGACCACTGGCAAGATTTATTCTGAATTTTCGTGTATTACCTGATTACTTAACATCACTTTTGAACAGTTTAGTCTTTATATCTTGTCCACTTCTGTCTTTCCATCTTCTATATGCCCATTTTATTTACTGTTTACGTAATTGTTTATAATACTGTTACGTCTCCGTTCGTTAGTTAATTTTCCGTAAATTCGTTCCGACGAAACTTTAGCAACACAAGTCCTTTCTTAAATAAAACTGGTTTATTCTTTCTGAATATAACTTTACGATACACTTAATTTCAACAGTCGCTCTATAACAACAGTATAATTCACGTCTCACGTGGCCAACAATATTTTGTCCGCATACATTCAATTACTCATTACACTGTTGTCCCATCACGTTGTGAACGTCTTATATATACAAAACTAACACATATCTAGTAAATGCTAGGGCATTCTTGAAGGAACAGGATATTTCTAGAAACAGGTGGCGTGATACTAGTCACGTGACCTCGCTGATGCAACACTACCCCTCCTTAGTATTGTTCGTCCCGAACAATAGCCACTTACAATAAACCAATAACAATTAACAATAACTTAATTATATGTACAGAATTACAAACACAAAATTACAATTCAACAAAGTCTCTTAATTTTACAGGACGTATCTTCTTCCGTCTCGTTGACTTCTGCTTCATATGGGGTTCATCTGCTTCATCAGGAAATGTTCTATCGTCGATAACAGTTACATCAGTGGTAGTAACTTCATCATGAGCTTCACCGTTTTCCTTCTCAAAACTGAGTAGAGTTTCTTCTTCG